GAGAGAGAGAGAGAGAGAGAGAGAGAGAGAGAGAGAGAGAGAGAGAGAGAGAGAGTCAAGGGTCGTCTGTGTCAAGGTGGGATAGGACAGTAGACCTGGGCACATGCGTGCTTCCAAAAACCACCGGATATACATTGGCGTCATTCACAAGTGGTTCTGAATTGGAATTTCGAAATTTGAATTTAAAACCCTCCAAACATACGTATCATTATGCACATGTGGCTCTGAATGAATATTGAATCTGAATTTTAAACTCATAGGATGATCGTAGAATGAGCGTGAGCGAGATGTCAAAAATGATGACTGGCCGTATCCTCTTTGCAGCAGACAGCAGTGCGTTGTTTCTATAACTTCGGCCCATACTCAAACTAGTACTTTCTCAAAAGTTCTAGCGTTCCTTTGTGGTCAAATACATGGATACTCAAACTAGTACCTTCTCAAAAGCATCTAGCAATCCTTTGCGGTCAAATACATGCATGAAATCTAAGCATCTGGCATCCTTTGCAGTCAAATACATGCATGAAATCTCTATGTGAGTATGGCCTGAACTTGTAGAACAACTTACGTACCTTCTTCATGCTCCTTCACGCTCCTGCATGCTTCTTCATGTTCTGCAGCCCTGGTACAGATCTGATGCAAAACCGATCAGATTCTATGGAGCAGATTAGTAAGATTCCACCAGGAGGGCCCTTTGCCGTCACCCCGGACAAAGCTGTTGTAGTTTGGGCGTTTGACGGCTCTCGGACAAAAAAGACAAGGTCGCATGGTGCTGTGCGCTTCTTCACATTCACAGGCGAACGCTGTCATCCTAGCTGAGCCCACTGCACAATCAACTCAGAACATGATTGCATGGGACAACTACCTGCGTAGCTCTCTTTTCCACAGCCAGCCAGCATCTGAATGACGGCAACGAAGGTTATCGTCCTCTCGATGTTCCGACACCATTCTTCACTTCTTTTGCAGGCTGCTTGTCCTTGGAATCTTTTGTTGCCTTTTCCTTACCTCCCTTCACATCTTTACCATTTGCGTCTTTCACCAACATTGGCTGGAACTGTACTTTCCAAAAGTAGAATCAGGAAACACAAAGGCATGTACGCACACCCATGGACAAATGCATTCGCACGCACGCGCACACACACACACGCATGCAGACACACACGCACGTGCACACACACACACACACACACACACACACACACACACACACACACACACACACACACACACACACACANACACACACACACACACACACACACACACACACACACACACACACACACACACATGCATGTGCACACGAACACACATGCAGACACATACACACATGCACACGCACACACACACAGTGGAAATAAACACAGAGACATAGAAATGCCATTAGATGATTAGACTCGATCAGAGATAGGGTTTAATTTTCAGAAGAGGGGTAAGATATGTTACCAAAAAGACAGATATACCAAGCTTTCTCCATTTTTTTTTTTTCTTTTTTTTTTTTTGTTGATGTCATCGGCATTTAAACTCACACTACTTATTTGTGTGTACCATTCAGCTACAAAGGCTGGGAAACACATAATAAATGTTTAGGATGCGACTTTTGAAAGGTCGAGGAGACAAGGGAAGACCACCATTAATTATCAGGACAGCTGTGTTGCTGTTCGACACGTGATTGCCCTGGATCACAGTATTTCAGAAGGGATGAAACGACCGCTAGGTAGTGTAGGTATGACGAAACGTAACAAGGCGCCTGCAGAAATCAAATTCCATGAACTGCCATGCAACTTCATTCCCTCCATATTCTTGATGTGAACTCGATTTTTTTTTGTAGTCGATGTGATAACAGGCATGGTGATAACAACGGTTACTTGCACAGGAGTCACTCTATTCACATCTAAGGACTCAGCACACATCAATCATTGAAAAAGCACTGATGACCACAGCCACCTTCCTGAAGCTGTCCCAAGAGAGAGGAGGAGGCAGCAAAGGAGGAGGCCAGGGAGGAGGAGGAGAAGAAGAAGAATTATAAAAGTACTGATGACCATAGCCACCTCCATAAAGCAAAAAGAAAGAAAGAAAGACGAAAGAAAGGCGAAAGAGAGACCCAAGAGAGAGGAGGCAGCAGAAGAGGAGTCCAGGGAGGAGGAGGAGGAGAAGAAGAAGAAGAATTATAAAAGCACTGATGATCAGAGTCACCTCCAAAAAAGATGACCCAAGAGGGAAAAGAAGAAGACAGAAGAAGAAAGAAAAAAGAAGACAGAAAGAAGGAAGGAAGAAGAAAAGGAGATCCTGTGTCGGGCCGTCCGCTGATTACAGTGCACAGAGTAGTTCTACTACAACAAACTGAGCATAGTAACTTTCTAGTTTCTTAGTCTCATGGAATTTGGAGTCTGGAGTGACATTAAAATGATTCACAGCCAGGTGATCGCACTGCTTCCGCATTGAAAAAAAAGTATAGACTGGAATTTTTTAAATGATGTAAGGCCAGGTGACTGCTTTGTTTCCACATCAAACGAAAAACAGAAAATAACTTTATCAGAGTTTATGATGTTTATCAACTTTTATCTGTATTTGATGCTGGTTCCCATTGTGGAGAGACCAATCTCCCATACTTCCGGAACACTTCCAAAATTTGAAAAATCAATACTTTCAAAATTACTTTCAGTTCCCCTTTGAGAAACAAAACTTTGCTGTATTTCCAGAAAGCAGACTCTCCTCGACCCATTGCGGAGAGAGAATCAGTTAAACCACCAACACTTCCGACCGTCACGGCCGCACACGCGCTGAGACATGCTGGCGTGAACGGGTCTGGGGTTCTGGCGTGAATTCATTTGAGTGGAAACATCGTGGCACTGTAGCAGTGGGTGGCCGTATGCACGCTGCAACCTCCAGAAGTACTGATGGTTTAAGGCGCATAACTGCCCGTGAGGACCAAAATAAGCTTTTGATGACAGTCTGCCATGAACCATAAGGACCTGTCTCCAAAAAAAAAGAAAAACAGAAGCTTGATGAAAGTCTGTCGCAGAAGCTTTAAAGAATGAAAAAAAGAGAGGGACAACAGGGGAAAATGCAGGGACAACAAATGTGGGTGGAGGCGAGGTACCTGATATACAGAGTAAATAACATTTCGTCGAATCTGGGCCATCATATTCAGGAACAAGTTATAGCCCTCCAACTTGTACTCTATCAGAGGATCCCTCTGGGCATAACCTCTCAAGCCTACAGCCTGCAACAAAAAAATCAAAATCAACCACCGATTAGCGATCACATTTTGTCAAACATCATCTAGGTGTCGTTGTGTACATTTTCAGTAGGTTGATGGGTAATCTCCAACACTCTTCGCCCAAAGAAACAGTTCGATTCATGGTATGAAAAAGTCCGTAGGAAAGCCCTAAGCTGCCAGCTGTCCAGCGGGGCCGAATGACTGAGCTCCCAAAATCTCGGACAAGTTGGGTATATACTATATATGGGGCTCAAGGGGTGTGAACTTTAAATGGGGGGTGCCTCAGTTTGATTTTCCAGAAACCTCAAGGTGACCCTCAGCCAAAAGTGATTTGCATTATCATATCCACACAGTATAGGTGTCATTTCAGATTTAAATTTTAAACCACCACGACCTGCAGGCCTCCGAGTTCCAAGTAGTAGGCTAGTAGCCTACTACCTGGAGTGTGTCGAGGCTGGGCCCACTGTCGATAAAATCCACTGGCAGCGGCGCTGCGTTACAGACCTCCAGATTTCGTGGAGCCTTTTCGGTGACAGGCATCCTGCAGGTAATGGTGGTTAAAAAAAATAAAAATGAAATTCGGTTTGAAATTTGAATTTGCACCGGGCTGCCCGGGACCCCGTCTGGAGGTCCCCCGCCAGGCGGTCAGGCGTGTGCCCAGGCACAGAACTCATACTAAAAAACGAAAAACGGGCCAGATAAAAAATTAAAACCCACTGCAGATCTTCATCCCCCTCCCCTCCTGCCTTGCCACTGTGCTCTGAAGGTTGTTTCATTACCCCTCGCCAATTGCACACTCTCTGGTTCTTCTCTCTCTATGTTCACCTTCAGACGACAAAACTCCCCTCAGCAATGCCTCTCCCTTATGCCTCTCCCTTACTGCTTGTTGTAAATTGGGTTCCAAAGTAGAAGAGGTCGCGAGATGAAAACTACTGTCTTCACCAGAATAGAATGCCCGGTCATCATAGCTGTATTTGGTGCAACTTCTGGTCTAGATACAGCGATAATGACAGGGCGTTCTATTCGGGTGAAGATGGTAGCAGCTCTCTCATCCATGGATGTCAAAAAATAAGAGAACAGGGTGTAAGAGTGGTTTACGGATATTGGCTGAAAATACCATCATAAACATTTCCCACAAATTTCAAAATTCAAAATTGTGATGTAGTCTAGGCTACCAGGACCTCTGGACCCCACAACACATCCGCACAGACGTGAATTTGGTTGTCCGTGAAATAAAAAGAAACAAATTTAACAAATCCAAAATGTGATTCAAGTTCATTCAACAATAGAGAAAAAGGTATGTAATCATTGTAATGCGGTCATCTCGTGATTCCTAGCCAAATTTGAGAGTTTAAAAGACAACAACAACAACAACAAAAAAAAAAATGCACGGGGCATGATGTCCAGGCTGGTCGCACAGAACAACATTGAAAACAGTTCAATATACTAATTTTAGTAATTTCGTAATTTAGTAATTCCAGTCCTTCGGTACATCTATTAAAATTGGAACGATGCAGAGAATGAAAGATTAGCATGGCCCCTGCGCAAGGAGCAAGGATGACACGCATAAATCGAGAAWTGGTCCAAATTAAAAAAAAAAAAAAAAAGAAAGAAAAGGAATTTAGTAATTCCGCAAAGGCCAAAGTCCCTCACTTGTTGTAAAAACTTGATGGCCTGAAGATGCTCCTTCCAGAGATTATCCGTCTGTGATAACACAAAGTATCTTTCGGCTTCCTGCATCAGTCCTGGGGCAACCTTATCGGTCATCTCCTGAATTCCATTTTTCACCCATGCGCATTCATCCACCCAAAAAGGCCAAAACGAAATATCAGCATTTGTGCCACCCATAGACAGAAGAGGACAAATCAAGTCAGGCCACACAAGAGAGAAATGACTGCACCCAAAAAAGAAAAACAGAAACAGGAAATAGGAACGCAATGTTACGCAATCCTGTCCGCTCGCTTAAAAAGGCCAGGGCCCGGGGGGGGGGGGGGGGGGGGGGGGGGGGGGGGGGGGTGAGGTTGTACTGGGGCAATTTGTAATGGAGGAGAAGTTGGAGAAAAATATATACCCCTCTTTTAGATGTCCAAAACCTTTTAGGGGATGGAGAAGGTGATGAGAGAGTGAAGGGGAGGGAAAAAAAAAGACGATAAATTCAACAAACTACAACTGAAAAACGCCCTGGTCATGTTTGCTCTCGCGCTGATGTTTTTTTTTTTCTTTTCTGGATGCCCGAGGATCTCAGAAATACCGCCTTTTTATGCGACACACAGCTTGTGGTACTGACATTGTCTGGTTTGGACCTTGGAGGTCCGACATGGTGCTAGAATCGGACAAGCGAAGAGAGATGTACAAGTGAGTAGAAACAGAGACTCAATTCAAACTGAGAAATAGTCTGTAGAAAGTAAGAGGATAGAACGTAGAATGAGGAAAAGGAATATAAATGCACAGGATCAATTCAAACTGAGAAATAGGCTGTAGAAAGTAAGGATAGAACGTAACGAGGAAAAGGAATATAAATGCACAGGATAATAGGATATAGATTAAGAACTGATGGTCAATCCGTCGAAATGGAGGCCCAATGAATGCTGTCAGAATCAGGGAGGGCCAAGCAAGGAAGAGAAATCGGAATGGATGAAAGCACGGTCAGAGCAGTGGTGGTACATTCTTCCAGAAGGGAAGCAATCAACACCTCTGTGTCAGGATTTCTCGGTCATCACGGAGAGAGGCGTTATGCAGGTTTCTGATATAAGGGCTGCTGGACCTGGTTTCCAGTCATACTAAAAACTTAAACAGTTGTTTTCGTGAGCGGAGAAGAAAAAAAAAAAAGAAAAAAAAAAAGGGCTCTAATTTCTAAAAACTTGAAAAGTTAAAAACCTGAATAATTAAGGTTTCCTTGTCCAAGACAGTAAAACGCTCCTAATTTCCCAACGGAAAAAAAAGAATGCCTTCTATCTGCAGCTTCAACCGTTGATGAAAGATGAGCTCCTTCCCCGACCCCCCCCCCTCCCTTTCACCCCCCAGAAAAAAGACCACCCCAGGGCTGGGAAGGTCAGCTACAAATCTCTGTTAAACCACCAGTACATGGCCCCAGCCAAGTTGAGAATCCAATTGAGCCTCTCCTAGATTTTTGGAGGCTTTGGGACGGGGCGTCCAAAGGGCCAGTAGAAAAAAAAAAGTATCCCTTGCCATGGGGTGGTGCTAGGCCCAGCCCTGAACAAAAATAAAAACTCTGCCCACCCCTAGGTGGGCCCTTTCCCCAGTCCCATAACTTTTCGGAGAGGCTCATTCGACTTCTCCAGATGTACTGATGCTTTAAGCTTAGTCTTTAGAGGAAGTTTAGACTCTAAATGACTCTCAATGAGTCTAAAGACTCTAACAGAATGAAACACTTTGGGCTTCAATACAAGTCCTATAGCACCTACAGGCCTTTTTCTTTTCCCCCAAACTCATAGGTTCATCAAAGATCCAAAATACAAAGTGTTGATTTTAGACTCTCTTTCAAGCGACTTTAGGCTCGCTAGGTCCCATAGACTCTCTTTCAGGAATGAGACAACCCGAGCAACCAAGATCAGTCAGTGGCTTTGACGCTTGTTCACTTCATCTGTGCAGCTGGACCTTCCATCCTGGGTGCCCCTCCAGATACGCACATGATCGACAAACAGTGAAAAGCAAACATGGACAAACACCAGCTTCATCTACTGCTCACTTCTCTCAAAATAAAATCTGGAAGCCACTAATTCCTTCTATTCGTTTTACTAAAAGGTCAAGAAAACCAAACAGCAGCAGTCAAAAATCAAAATGCCAAAATGCCCATGTGAATCACTCTGCATAATCATGCTAATGTTGCTTAAGGATGTGCATCCACGTTCGTGTGTGTGTGTGTGTGTGTGTGTGTGTGTGTGTGTGTGAGCCTCTATTCCACCCAGATGAGCAGATCCAAAATCAAAGCATATTTAATCCTATCCCAGACATCGAAAGCCCTTGAGTTCAGGCAACCCAACAATGAAACAGTTCCACCTCTATAGCAAGCAGCATGAAATAAAAACAAAATAGAAGAATGTAACCCCCTTTCTTGAATGTGTTCACATTTGCTTTCTTCGGGGTACCCCTTTCATTTGTTGTTGGAGCTCCCCCTTTACCGTGCCTCTCATGCACAAGGTTCACCACATTGATTGTGGTTGTGCTCGAGCTGCTCACATCCCCGTGTGCCATAACGGATCTTCAACTTGTATTTTCTCTGTTCCCGTAATGATGCTCATTCTTATGTATTACTAGTAATACACAAGAGGAGGGAGGAAGGAAATGGGAGACAGAGTTCTGGCAGGGTTCCAAATAGTGACCGCTCGGGCAAACCACCCTAGAATGGCACATGAGGCCAGTCAGTGTGTGGGTTGCATAAGATTTGAAGAGCAGTTGTTGCCTATGGTAAGTGGCCACCTCTACAGACCACGCAGGACCGGTTTAGGTGTGGCCTGTGGAAGCACCGCATCCAATTCTCACAGTCACAGTTACGGCATTGAATGGCACGGCGTAGGCATATGTCACAGGCTACGTGGCTCCTACACGCTAGGAACACAGAGGCACGTCAACCGCAATTGTAGAGGCATTGCCGTTCCAGCCTGTCTACAAACTGGACATGACATGTCAGGGTGCTGTGTGCGTGTATGTGTGTGTGTGCGTGTGTGTGTGTGTGTGTGTGTGTGTGTGTGTGTG